ATCATGGTTTCAACATGATGAAATTAACATGCAGCAACTTTATGAAATTAACATGCAGAATGCACAAAATGCAACTTTCTGTGTAACCGTCAGCTCACCACATGGTATTGATGCACAATTCATAAATTATTTTGTGATACCACCTACTGTTAGAAGAAATATAAACGCACCAAATTTAGATACATACGTACGCTTAATATTTATAGTTAACCAGTTACCGTTTTTGTAACCAACAACACATTTGGTGTATATAAGCTAAACAATCGCATGCTTTGTCATCATCAAATATCATCTTCGCTTCAAACGCAAATGCTCTATATGTTGAAAATACTTCACAATATGCTTCTAATAGTATGCGTGTTCACCATAGTACATTTGTACCAGTCTGGTATGTTCTAACAAAAGTTCTTCTAGTAGATGATGACTTGGTATACCAAAAATTTGGTTCAACATTGCAGTAGATGGAATTGGTGCTGTTAATCAAATGAAGATTAGTAAATATGATCTTGTCTTCATGGTAAGTCATAAAGTTCTGCTCTTCATTACTGCATTGCAAACCCGATTTGATTGACTTTTTAATATTGCCACATGCAATTTATAGGAAATTGTTTTACCAAAGTTGGATGGTAAGTTTCTTTTTTAGAATCTCATTTCTCTAATGTCATTAATCTTATGATTTACTATAATATAAATTTAGGTGTTAAGGCAACAGTTCAAATTAGACATTTCGACAGCTCTACACCAATTATTAGCATCGCACCAAGATTGTAGTTTTTATCTTTCACATGGAATAAATGATGTTCTTGCCAAGCCATTCAGTAAATCAATATTTCTTAAGATGTTAGAAAATTATTGTTCATATCTTGTTATGCCAAAATTCCAGAGTATTCCAAGACCATTTGGTGTCTCCGATATATCAAAATCAGCTTCTAATAGTGATATGTTTTCTCACTCTTCAGATACATTGGTTGGAGAAAAAAACAATAAGCATCATGATAGTTTGATTTTAAACCAATTGGCCTTGACCATGTCTGACAGGTCATTTTATTTCGACTATATACAGGTTATGAACAATCTAGCTAATGCATCTTCAAGTACTAGTTCTTTTATACTTACTATTAATATACCAAACATACCAACATTGACTCAAAGTAGACAGATATCTACAACGAATGTAGGAACATCGATAATAATGATACAGTAATGGCAATAATAGAAGTACTGGCAATAATAGCAACAATTTCTAACTTGTTATTTTTGCAAATTTTTTTCTTAGTTTGCCAATATTACAGAGGATGATGATAATCCTCCACCACGATTTGATACTACCAACG